TAGGGTTTAGGGTGTGGGGGTTTCGGAGGTTTCGGAGTTTAGGGTAAAGTCGTTGAAGCCCCTGCTACAGGGACCTTAGAACAGTGACCTAAACTATTTGGAGTGATTCCTTTCTATAGTTATAATATCGTATACCCCAAAACCCTAATTCTAATTATTAAGGCCCCTTCATGATTGCTGGGTTCCTTATTCTAGTTTGTGTATATAAGTCCTTAAGAAGTTAGGATCTTTGGGATTGAGGAAACCCTAAGCCCTAAACTTCTTCAAGCCCCCAAAGCCTTTCAGCCAGGAGGCCCCTTCACCAAAACATCCCTAAACCCTCTAAGCCCTGAACCCTAAGCCATAAGCCCTAAGCCCTAAACTCAGCCCTAAACCCCCTAAGCCCTAAACTCCCTAAACCCTAAACCCTAAGCCCCAAGCCCTAAACCCCAAACCCTCAGCCAGGAGGGCCGGGTGACGTCTCTGGGCAGCCAGTCTCACAAAAGTGGAACCTGCAAGCCCTGCGCCTACTGGCCGGGACCCTACGTCCTGGGGTTTGAGTTTAGGGCTTAGTGAGGGTTCAGGTTTAGGGTTTGGGGTTTAGTGTTAAGGGTTTGGGGTTTAGGGTTTGGGGTTTAGGGTTTGGGGTGTAGCGTTTAGGATTTAGGGTTTAGGGTTGGCGGTTTAGGGGTTTCGCGTTTTGGGTTTGGGGGTTAATTTCGGGCCAACCTTAGAGTGGATAGCCCCGGCCCGAAATCCTACAACTTATGCAAAAAAAAGTCGCTGCCGGCGTAAACAAGCACCTGTCCCTGTCAAACTTCAGGCATGTAGGTTCCTAGATGAGGTTCGAGAAAATCAGGGGCTTATAGTAAGGAGCCGCCAAAATAGTATTGGCCCCAAACCCTTCAACCCTGCAACTTGTATCATAGAATCCTTGCAAAACCTTCATCGTGGCCCTCTATAAACCCTAAACCCCGAACCTCTTATCGGGTCGTTTAGAGGCGCTTATAGCAGCCCTTGATGGACCCTAAACCCCTCTTCGGACCCGAAAACCTGAGAGTTTGACGCCGGATCCTTGTCCCAGCAGAGCATGGAAAGCGTTTCGGGAAGTGAATTTGAGGGTTCTGTTGGGCTTCAAGGGTTCAGGGCTTAGGGCGCAGGGTTTGTGTTTTTAGGGTTTTAAGTTTCAGGTGCGGGTTTCACGGTTTAGGCATGAGGTTTGTATCTTCACGAGCTTCAGTTTGCCTGGGATGGTTCAGTGAGTTCAGGGATGAGAATTTAGGTCTGTCGCAGGAATGCGGTTCCCTAAGGCTCCATGTACCTTTATAGTAGATACACAGGCCTTAGAGTACCTATATAGGGACCCCTTTAAGGCCTAAGTATCTACTCTAAAGGTACATGGAGCCTTTGGGGTTTCGGGTTTAGAGCGCAGGGCAATGGACGAAACCCCAAAACTCTCAGCCTGAAAACCGCCCCAGCCAGCCCTCCCCGGCGCCACGGACCGGTCGGTTCAAAAACTCAGCGTTTAAGGTTTAAGGTTTAGGGCCTTGTGGGTTTAGGGCTTATAAGGTTTAGGGTTATGCACAAGCTTCACATTGTTTAGGGTTGAGGGCCATCGACAAGCCCAATTTGGCATGGTTTCCGGGTCGCCATTATAGGTAACCGGCCATGACCTATAGGCCAGCACCATTCCTGCTTCGACCCTGCGAAATGGGAGTTTCAGACAACTAGGGAGACCTTACTCTGGAGGTCCTGATATGACGGAGGGTTTAGGGTTTAGGGTTTAGGGCCCCATACCACGAGATGCTGATTGTTCGCCCGAAGGTCTCGATACATCTCAGAAAATGCAATTCCGAGGTTCAAGAGAGCCTGCAAGCATGGCGTAGCTTGCTACAACTGTCCTTCCCTCAGAGTCTGCTTCCGCGCCATGTTCAACGAACCCACCCCCCCTCAAAAAAAACAACAACATTTTTTCTGAGACGGAGTATAATCACTACCATTGCCGTCACAATTATCATGTTCAGTATCGTTAACAGTTAACAACTTCTTAATCAACCACGAAGGCACTAGTCAGCGGTGGCAAAAAACAGGACATGACAAGCCTCCCTATCTAGTGTACCTGCTTCCATACCTGCTTACCTACCTACCTACCAGCCTGCCTACGTACCTGCCGACCTACTTACCTACCTACCTACCGACCTATCTACCTACCGACCTACCGACCTACCGACCTACCGACCTACCGACCTACCTACCTACCTACCTACCTACCTACCTACCTACCTACCTACCTACCTACCTATACTTACCTACCTACCTACCTACCTACCTACCTACCTACCTACCTACCTACCTACCTACAATTTACCTACCTACCTGCTCACATACTTACATACTTACATACTTACAGTACTTGCTCTTAGGGTGGCTGTTGCTGTCATTGAGACGATCAACATACATGCACCTCAGACTGAAGCCATGAAACCCAAGAGCCTAAAACTCGACGAGATAGGGCCATAATATGAGGTTCGGAATACTTATACACAATATCCCCTTGCAGTCTCCATACTGTGGATGATATATACCCTGCATTACCTTAAGGACCCTAAACTATCGGAATTCTGGTATGTTCCGTATTATGGGTAGGTATTGCAGGGTTTTTATCATCAACCGTAGTACACCGAACGCCAAAACCCTCTTCAAATTCAAACTCTGAAGGGCCCTATATTACCAGAAATCGCGAAAGCGCCCTAGAAACAAAAGTCAGAATGATTACCCTAAACCCTACGCCCTATTATAAACCCTAAACTCTAAACGCTAAACCCTAAATGCCTAAACCGTAAGCCCTAAACTGCAACCCAACCTCTCCACGGCCTGTACTCCATAGAAATGCGTCAAGGCCACATCGCCCACGAGGGCCAGAAGCCGAAGAGACTGAGGCGAGAGTTGAGAGGGTTTAGGGGTTAGGGTTTAGGGTTTAAGGTTTAGGGTTTAGGGTTTAGGGTTTAGGGTTTAGGGTTTAGGGTTTAGTATGCTTGTTCTTAAGATTGCGCAGTAAAGCGTGTTTTTGCTATCATTACTTGTGTCCATGACTATCCCTAACCCCCCAGTTACCTACTATATAGGGTACTAGAGCCCCTGGGGCCCTATATAGTAGGTACCTGGGAGGTTAGGGTATGCTTGTTTGGTCTAAGAGCTCAGGCCTTGAGGTATCAGGTTTGCAGGCTGTTCATGGGCATACCCTAAGGGTCCAAAGGACCCAATAATCAGGTACTTAGGTTGCGGATAGTAGTTATGTAGGTTACTATTTGGGAGAGTATATGATTATTAGGTACTTGGACCCTTAGGGTTCGGCGCAGGAATGCGGCTTCTAGTTAAGGCACGGCTGGCGCGTTGGAGGAGTGCTATCTGAGGCACGTACTGTTTTAGAGGAAAGAACAGCTATGCTCTTCGTTCCAGATCTGCACCAAGCACCATCCGACAATCACCGCATTCACAGTACTACCAGTCCTGGTCAGTTCTTCTCTTCGTTGGTGACAAACAGTGGTGGTCGCACGACTGCTCGCACGCCAAACCGCCATTTATACCGTGGTAAGTATGATTGTGAACAGGCTAGTCAACTTGTTCGGGTTGGGGGAGTGGGGCGGGCGCCAAAGCTTGGGAGACGAAGACTACGACTTGCTCCTGCACAGATAAAAGACGACAACCGGATGCCCCCTCCACTCTTCAGTTCGGTCATATGCTTCAGTCATGAGTCGAGGTGAGAAAGTACAGGGTTGTGATTGGAGTATTCACCCTTGTCTACAGTACTTGAAAGTGGTTCCACGGGTACATATCCTGTGCACCTTGTACATAAATCTTGAACCCTAAACCCCTAAACTAAACCGTAAAGCTTAATTCCCTAAACACGTAAACCCTATCTCTTGCTGTAGCTGTAGTTCGGCAGCTCCAACCTCCCCCCCTCCCCCCTGCCAGCGGTTGCCCTGTCGATAGGTCATCGAAGGCAAAAATCCACAAGGAGATCGGTGACACCCTCGGTTTGGGGAAAGCCGAAGCTTCGGATGGTTGAGGCTATTGTGGTGATGGTCCTCAGGGTTGGGGAGTGTTGGGTTTATGGGTCCAATGGATTCTAAGCGCTGCAGCTTGGAGTACGATGTTCCATGAGTGCTCATCTCCAAAAAGAGATTCGGCCCTCACCTCTTTGGGCATACCCTAAGGGTCCAAAGGACCCAATAATCAGGTACTTAGGTTTCGGATAGTAGTTATGTAGGTTACTATTTGGGAGAGTATATGATTATTAGGTACTTGGACCCTTAGGGACCCTAAACAACCGAACCCTAAACCCTAAACCCATAGGTACGGTCTCGCGGCAACCACAGAGGAGCGTCTGCCTTGCATTGGGCCGACGCTTTTCTTTTTCACCGCGATGTCTTGGATGCTTAGACCTCCTCCCAGAGAACCATCCGAATACTGCTTAAATATTCAAGCAATACACCCTAAATTATAGAGGCCCCTTAATTAATCAAGTCACAAACCTTAAATTATGGGGGGCCTTAAAATCATGATTTACGGTGTAACCCTGAATTCAGGGGTATTGGGCTCTCTGGGTTTGTCTTCACAAGCATCTCCTAGATCTGCATCATTGTCATAGACTGCTGCACGAAGCAAACCAGGCGACTCGAGTATCCCGGAGGAGGGCGAGTTGCCTCTCGGCTGCAAGACTCCTCCCTCCTGGTTGAGAGTCCAGACGTCTAAACCCTGAACTCTAAACTCTAAACCTGCAGGTCCGGAACATAGAGAGCTGCGAAGCCCTAAACCCGCAAATCCTGCATCCGCACCCTGAAGCCTTAAAGCCGCCTTTGCCGACAAACACTAGACCCCAAACCCTAAACCCAGGTTATACAAGTTGTTATACGAGAAAACCTGAGAGGGTCGATACTTGGCTCGTAGATGTTTCGGTCCTTTGGTAAGATGAGCTCTGCACCCCAAAGCATGTTGAGGTTCGGACTTTGAGGTTTGGACCCAACACCCAATGTCTCGCAGAAATTCGGCTGACGTCTACTCGGGTTCGAGACATGGAACCTGAAGACAATCTCCGTCGCACGCTGCCAGGAGTCAGAAAGACTACAAGAAGAACACGGCTGCAGCTGCCTCAGTCAGACGGTTGAATATCGGTGCCTAAACAGGTACCAAAACATACCCATACGTACTACTTTGGGGCTCCTTACCATAATTGTAGTATAAGATACCCCCAAAACCCTGTTCCGATTCTTAAGGCTCCGGTACTAGGCATGCATCGCCAAAATCAGTCTGAGCTCTATGGTGCTGCAGGTGTTCAAAGTGGGTTTCGGTTTAGGGTTTAATTTATTGGGGGCCTTAATAATTAGAATAGGGCTTGAGGCATATTATACTATACTTGCAATAAGGAACCCCCTCAACCCTATTCTGATTAATAAGGCCCCTACATTAGTGGCATCAAACCCTAACCCTAGCCCTAAACCCTCACAGAGTTAAGGAATTCGGAGCTTGGGAATCCAAATTGTCTCAGAGTCACAGTTCACCCCCTAAGAAGTTGAATTGGAACATGGGGTGAAGAAGATGATTACTGGTGAGATGCCCCAAACCCCAAACCACCCAAACCCCAAGACTCTCAAGCCCTTCGATCCCCTAAATCCTTCACCCCCTCAGGCCCTTTACCTTAAACCCTAAACCCAGTACCTGAAGGGCAGGAGGATAAGCATGTTCCATCTTTCTGATTCTGGCTTCCCGCCACCAGGAGCCTGAAATCACGGTTTCGGTACCTATGAACTCAGAAATGCGGATTTGGGCTCATGTGTCGGATTTCTGGAAACTCCCTTGCTACGGGCTTCCAGGGGAATGTGGGGCTGATGCTGATTGGATTGGGGTTTAAGGACCCTAAACCCTAAACCCTTAACCCTATAGGTTTCTCTAAATTAGTGCCCCTTCTTAGGTCCTAAATATACGGCACCCTTACAAAAAGGACCCCAACAGAAAAACCTGATTTAGAGAACTACCCATGTAGTACCCTGGGACCCTTATAGAAACCCCATAGAAACCCTTACATATCCCAGTATAGAAACCCTATAGAAACCCTTATAGATCCCTGAAAAGAAACCCTTTAGAAACACCTTGTAGATCCCTTAAGGGACGCTATAGAAATCCTTATAGATCCCTTTATAGAAGCCCTATTCGAAACCCTTGCAGATCCCCTTACAGGGACCCTATAGAAACCCTTATCGATCTCCTTACAGGGACCCTCTAGAAACCCTTATAGATCCCTTTAAAGAAACTTTAAAGAAACCCTTATAGACCCCTTTAACGGGACCCCATAGAAACCCTTATAGATCCCTTTAAAGAAACCTTATAGAAACCCTTATAGATCCCTTTAAAAGGGAACCTTTTCGAAACCCTTATAGAAACCCCATAGAAACCTTTATAGATCCCTTTCTAGAAGCCCCGTAGAAGCCCTTACCCTAAACCCTAAACCCTTTAAAGGGAACCTCTAGATCCCTTTAAAGAAACCCTACAGAAACCCTTATAGGGGGTTTAGGGTTTAGGGTTTAGGGTTTAGGGTTCCCTTATAGACCCTTTAAAGGGTGGCCTGATTTTAGAGAAACTGCCCCCCGGCCTCCCGGGCCCCGACCTCCCAGGATCGGGCCATTCCTTCGACTCCCGGCCGTGTCGGTGGTGAGAGCGTGGATCTGAAGGTAGGGCTTCCGTGTTTACGGATTTTGGGTTTAGGGTTTAGGGAGTTTAAGGTTTCGGGAATTTAGGATCTGAAGATAGGGCTTAGGGAGTTTAGGGTTGAGGGCTTAGGGGGTTTACGGTTTAGGGCTTAGGGAGTTTGGGGTTTACGGAGTTTAGGGTTTAGGGAGCTTAGGGCTTAGGGAGCTTAGGGCTTAGGGAGTTTACGGTTTAGGGGTTTAGGGAGCTTAGGGTCTAGGGTTTAGGGTTTAGGGTTTAGGGAGTTTAGGCTTTTGAGGAGCACGAGCTTGCATTGGGGATCCTACATTGGCCCCAAGGGTGCGAAAGCCATGTTACCCGGAACGGCTCCTGGAAAGAAAGCGCTAGGAGGCTGAGGGAAAAGCAGTTGGCGACCAATGTATACGCCTAAAAACGACGAAGATTATTCCTCCGTGTTCTGAACTGTACTATAACTGTACTATAACATACCACTAAACCAGTAGAACTGTACTATAACATACCCCTAAACGTTGTTCTAAGTATAAGGGTCCCTAAGTTACCATGTCGCAGCCTGGAAGATCACGACTTGGGATTTCTGCCTCCAGGGTGTGGCATTCGACCCTAAACCCTAAACCCTTAGGGTTTAGGGTTTAGGGTTTAGGGTTTAGGGTTTAGGGATTCGGAATGGCTGTCGGGAGTCCAACGCTGTGATGGTGATCATGAGAACTGATGGTGAGGATGATGGTGGCCAACAGGAGCAGGGGAACACTGATGCTGGTGGTGATGTTGATGATGTGGCGATGATGATGATGACGAGGATGAACAAGAATATGATGATGGTGGTGCTGGCGCTGATGGTGGTGGTGGTGGTGGTGGTGGTGGTGGTGGTGGTGGTGGTGATGGTGATGGTGATGATGCTGATGATGATGATGACGACGATGGCGACTAACAGCATTGTGCCATAAATTTACAAGACGAGTGCGTGCACCTGATACACCGTTCCTTCACCACAGAGGCCAAGGGCGAGTTTGTCAAATGCCGAAAAACGAGGGTAACATTCCAATCCTGAGGCTGCAGGGCCACGTTGATGGGGTTTAGGGTTTAGGAGTTTAGGCAGGCTCTTTCAGACTCTTTCAATGTCAGGGACCTCTGCACAGAACAAGCACAAAGCGCACGTTCACTGCTTCTGGCAGGTCACAGCGGCTGTCCTGAAGCGAGTATCCATGGCTCGTGGTTTCAAGGCTCGGAGTGCCTAGAAAGCCGGAAGTAAGTCCTGAGCACAAACATCCCCAAACCCTGCGCTTCTCTGCATTCCAGCCTCCAAGCTCCTAAGCTCCTGAGCACTCGCCTCGAAATTGCCTAGCAAACTTAACCATGACACCGGTTGAAGCAGTGATAGTCGGCACGAGCGGAGTTTGTGCGCGCGCGTGCGTGCGTGCGTGCGTGCGCGTGCGCGTGCG